TCTGAACCTGTTTTCTTTTGCCATCACTGAGAAACATTGATCCTCTTCTCTTCCTTTTTTCTCTCTCTTTTTCTTCAATCAATCAAATTAATATAAACCAAACCAACCTTTTTCTCCCACTATATATATACATCTACATCTACATCTATATATATATATATATATATCTTATATATACTCCAATCACCCCCCCCCCCCCCCCCCTGTTTCTTCTTTGTTAAACCCCTTGCCCGTTCTTTTCTGGAGGGGAAAAACAAGGAGGCTAGGTCGGAATGGGGTGGGCAGAGGTGGAAATCAACTTTATTTGTTGTTTGTTGAATCCCATCAATTAAATGTCTACTTTTTTTTTTTCCATTAAAAAAAAAAAAAAGAGTTACAGGTCTCCCACCTTACTTATAAGTTAATAGTTTTTTTAAATGGTTTCAGCTTTGAATAATACCTCTATCATTCTTGAGATAGGATCCAAGATTGAGAAACACATAGTTGACAGTTTTCAGTCGGCTGTATCAACAAAGGGACATGTTACGCTTCTTGCCCAAAAAGCAAGGGTGTAGCCGGACACATTTTTGTGCAGAAATAATTATGTAGTGTGAGCATGCCGTTAGTGGGTTATTGCTACACTACACTGGGCTTCCAGTGTCAGCCACCGTGATGCCAAGGAGTATCCCTTCTAGCTACACGTGGTGTAGAACTTAAGATTTTAGAGTTTGAACTCTGGGACTAAAGAGTCCAGGTGGTAATTCCAATGAGGATTGGTAATTACAAGGTTAATAAATAGTAGAGATGAGTAATTATATCAATAAATATTGATATAATTTAAACATAGGGGCCTGATAAATCAGGGGTGATTTAATCCCTCAAAGGTATCATGCAAAAAGCAGAGGATTTAGGTACCTGATAACACTGAGGCCTGTTAACAGGTGTGGTTTAAATCCCAGAAGAAAGTAGTAAGAATCTCAAGAAAGAAGGGGGCATAATTATGTACTAAGAATGCACCTTAAATCTTGAGGTTCTGATAGACAGAGAATTAAAGCAAGAGACAATACATTACCAGCCAGATACAAATGTTAAGCATTTGAGAGAGTGGGTAATCTAAAGTGGGTTGTTATAATCTGAGGACTCCGTATTTGGGGGGACAGAGGGCTCTTTATATACCCGTGGAGGCATCTGGGAGATCAGGGTCAACTTGTGGGCGCTTCATGTATGGAGGCTGAAACGTGTGACCATATCCTTGGAAATGTGCCACAGGTGTTCTGTAGAAGATGAAAGCTGAAACATGTGGCCATTTCCTTGGAAATGTGCCACACACGTGTTATCAATATTCAAATGTATGTTTGAAACAGAAAATAAGTTTCAAGTCTTAAACCTGTTTATTAGCATATTTAATTATAAACATAATCATATTTCATTTCCTGCTTGGAGGTACTCCCTATATCTTTAATGTAGATTTGCCGCATGAAGTAGTTGAAATATAGGGTACCTCTGACTGAGGTACCCTAGGTTATTCTTCATATAGATTAAGAATATTGAGAAATACTGCCCTTATTATTTTGATCTTCTCTTTTGTTTTCAGTACTACTCATCTGAAAACATCTCTGGTGAGTAATAATGTCTTTTTGTATTTTATATTATGTTTGTGTACTATGACAGGTTGTCTCTGCTATAGTAGCAAGCTGAAATCCAGCCACTCAAGGGAGCTACAGGGCCAAGAAACCGCTAACCAGTATGTTGGTACAGCTAAGCAGGCCCTTTTTTTTGGGGGGGGGGCTGCACGCTTAGTGTTAGGGCAGACATGGCAGAGTTTCCACTCTGTTAAGCTAAATTTTAGTGGAATTCTGCTATGTTACACTGCACTAGCACTACAGTTTGCAGACCTGGCCCACCCTTGGCTGCATAATTAGCAAACTTTATGATATACTAATCAGAATTCCCTTTTGTTTGGAGTTTGTCTTTTCACCTTGAGGAATATTGGTAATATGCAGAGCATGATTGAAATATAACAGTGGTATGTATTGGTTACATGTGGGCATAATTAGAGACATAAGGTCACCCCAATACACAGATAGTTGATTTCTGTGTTGTGGATCAGTGCTTAGAGCAAATTCACCTTGGGCTGCAAATCAGGTCCATATCAAATGGAGGCTCTGGGGGACCCTGCATGGAGTGCTCTCCATCAGAGAGGCCTATGTATTATCACTCAAATTTGGCAGGGGCAGAAGAGATTTTCAAACAAAAAAACCCAAGCAATTTTCAAAAAGAAAGAAACATCAATAACAAGAAACTGAATAGACAGTCTTGTAGCAACTCATATTGCACAATTTTTGGTGCCCATGGGCATCTTTTATCTTGAAAACTATGACCTCTAATGACAAAAGCATTCAAATTTGCTGATTGAGTTCATGATCTTCATCCAAGAAGATTTCAAACTATGGATTGTGTTTGGCAAATGCATTTCTAGATTTGGACTATTTGCATAGATTTTCTGTCCATCTTTGTAGACCTGCACTCAAACACAGTCTCAGGGATACCATGCAATGAGCTTGCAGATTCATGGGTTTGCAAAGAATGTAGCTTTTGTGAATCCTTGCATGTATCCTGGGTGAACCCTTTTTGGAATTTCATGTTTTTTCTGAATCAAAATCAATGAAGAGTGAATTGAGAGTTCTGAATAGACCATAATGAAGGGAACATGCCTTGATACTTGTAGAATGGTTATGGCAGAAACCGGAGAACACTGGTGGCTGAAGCTCCTTAAAAAATAAGAAGCTTCCAACCAAAGTGACTTTGACCTTGCACTCCTGCTCAAAA